CATTCTGTTAATTATTCCATTTTTAAAAAATTTCAAACCTTGGCCAGGCATGGTGGCTCACACCTGTAATCCTAACACTCTGGGCAGCTGAGGCAGGTGGGTTGCCTGAGCTCATGGGTTTGAGACCAACCTGAGCAAGAGTGAGACCCCATCTCTAAAAATAGCTGGGTGTTGTGGTGGGCACCTATAACCCCAGCTACTTGGGAGGCTGAGGCAAGAGAATCACTTGAGCCCAAGAGTTTGAGGTTGCTGTGAGCTATGATGCCACAGCACTCTACAAAGGGTGATAAAATGAGACTGTCTCAAAAATTAATAAATAAATAAAATAAAAATAAAAATTTTCAAACCTCCAAGAATGTTAAGAGTCATATAAATCTCTGTATAACTTCCCTGTAGATCTCCCGATGGGTAACATTTTGTACATTTGTGTGCTCTCTCACTCTCCACACCCATATCTCTCTACTCCAGAGACTTTGAGAGTAGATCTCATGACACTTTCTGTGTGCCTCTCAACTCCAAACCTACATTCTCCTCTTTTCTGTGATGACATTTGGCTTTGCTAGCCACTCTCTGTTAGGCTTACCAATCAGAGGCACTAGAGGGAGACAGCAGGGCTTGAGGAGTGTTGTCCAGCAGTGCTTTACCCGAGCTGCAACAGGCCTGCTTATAGCAGTAGCTGAATCCCATTTGCAGTTTTCTCACACTCACAGAACCAGACTTGCTGCATCCCTCAGAGACACCAGTACCAGCCAGCACACCCATGAGCCCCTCCTTAAATTCAGGGACATCAGCATCAGCCAAGCAACACACTTGGAGAGGTCTGAGTTTAAGCTCCAAAGGACCCCTTCTCTAAGCTCACTAGTGGCCTCAGGTTGCCACATTTAAACCTTTCCAATCCTATGTTGGACCTTGTCCGGCATAATGATTTCCTGTTCTGCTCTGATGTTGGAATGTTGGAAGACATCTGATATGTTTTTTTTTAGAGACAGAGTCTTACTTTATTGCCCTTAGTAGAGTACTGTAGTGTCACAGCTCACAGCAACCTCCAACTCCTGGGCTTAGGTGATTCCCTTGCCTCAGCCTCCCAAGTAGCTGGGACTACAGGTGTCTGTCACAACACCCAGCTATTTTTTTGTTATTGTTGCAGTTTGGCTGGGGCCGGGTTTGAACCCGCCACCCTCAGTATATGGGCCGGCGCCACACTCACTGAGCCACAGGCGCCGCCCATCTGATATATTTATTTCATACCACTCATCCTGACATACCTGTCATACCTGACAAGAGGTAGTGACAATGCTGAGAACATTCTTTGGCCCTCAAACACAGCTGATTACTGGTTATAGGAAGAAACAGCCCATTCAGTTTGAAAACACAACGGTTGTTTTAGAATACACAAAGTTTATGGGAAGAGTGGACAGAGCTGATCAGTACCATGGATGTTACAGATTTACAAGGAAGTCTTACAATTGGTTGAAAAAAATTATACTTCTGTTGCAGTTATAAACTTCTACATCCTTTACTCATTAGATGAGGAGAGTAGAGAAAAAGTGCAGATACATCTTTCTACAGGAGAAATCATATCACTCATTTTGTGAGCAACATGAGGAACAGAAATTTAATTACAGTCGTGTGGTGGCTCAGTGCTGTAAACCATGCTCGCTGGGAGGCCAAGTTTGGTGGATCACCTGAACTCTGAATTTGAGACAACATAAGCAAGAGAGAGATCCCATCTCTCCTAGAAAAGCTAGTCAGATATCTTGGCGGGCACAGATAGCCCTGCTACTTGGGAGGCTGAGGCAAAAAGATTGCTTGAGCCAAAGAGCTTGAGGTTGCTGTGAGCTTTGATGCTACAGCACTCTACCCAGGGTGACAGAGTGAGATTCTGCCTCAAAAAAAAAAATTCAAGAAAGAGGGAAAGACCATCATCTTCTGACACTGAGGAAAGGGTAAATGGGAAGATGTGTTTTATAATGAAAAATGAAAAAAAAATCAACAAAGGATTGCATGGTTTGCAGCAGAAGAAATGACAAAGATGAAGGAGAGAAATCATTTTTTTTTTT